CGACTACATAGGAGTCCAGTGACATAGCCTTTAAACTAACTGCTGGTCCCCCAGTTGCAATTTTTGTGACCACTGTCTAAAACAAGTAACTTAAGTTTCCTCTTTAAGCAAACAGGCTTATTTATGACCTTATTTGTTACAAGAGTTTCAGATTACATGAGTTACAAAAGCTACAACCACCAGTTAACCATTAAAGTATAAGAAAGAGGAATGAAGTAAAGCCCAAAATAAAAAGGTTAAAAAATTGTTTAGTTTTCCCTGTTATTTTATGACTAATGTTTGTCAAAGAGAAAGAAAGAAAAAGAACAATGGCTTGATTTAGCACCAGGACAATACAGAATGGCTGTTTCCTAGGTTCATCTCCTTGTGCCAAGTACAACTTGCTATCAGACTCAAGATCTTTTTTTTTTTTTTTTTTGGAGAGGTTTTCACTATAGGGTGCGTTCGCTCGCCAGAGAGAGACATAGAGACTGAAAGTGAGAAATCATCCCCCAGCGGGTGGATGGTCACACCACAATCCCTTCTCCTCCATTCTCCTCTCAGGATCTTGGGCACGCACGCACGCACACACGCCCGGTGTGAGTTTTAAGCCACCGGGTCCAGGACGCAAACTGCAGTCAACTACGTGAGAGTCCAGCGACATAGCCATTATGCTAACTGCTGGTTCCCCCACAGATTCAAGATCTTAGCCCTTGTCATCCCTGATTTTCATTGAGATTTCGCTTTCATCAGTGTCTCCCTAGATCATCCCTCTCCTCCCTTCACAGTTTATCTCCTATTTCATCCTACTCTTCAAAGGCAAGAGAAAGAGAGGAAACGTATTTCTCTTCCTTGGCCATGAGGGATGGTTAAAAAGTTAACTGATGAAAAACAGCCCCCTTGTAAATGCTCATATCTGGTGGATAGAGGCCCTCAAAAATCTTCATTTGGGTATGAGCCACTCAAGTCTGAGATTAAAATGGTGCCACTCTTCTCATGCCAGTCCACCCTCTTGATGCCAACTACAACAACAAAACTGGTGGGGGCGAATTATTGAAGAACAAGCGGTGAGAAGGAAAGGGAGGGGAGACAGGCCTGACCTAGGGCCCACTCAGAATTAAAGCAGCTTTGTAAAAACTTCCCCAAGAGTTCCCAGTCTCTCTCGTTCCCTTCCACCACAGACGCACCTCCAGCAGGACCCGGGGTCTATTTCAGTCCTAACTCTATAGTAACACCCAGGGCACGGGAGCTGTCTCAGTCAAAGTCTGCTGCTCTGCTGGTGTGGCAGGCCCGGGTGGGAGATTTTAAGTCAAACCTTCATTGAAAGGACAGACTATGCTGGGAGCCAAGAAGTAATTGCCTGATTAAAACCTGCCAGTCTACTATTGCTGACTTTCCAGTTATCTACCCAAGTGCTTCATGGCCAAATGGACACATAGGATGTTAGCTAGTTCCATAAAAGTCAAGCCTAAGAAACTGATAAGGAATGAGACCATGTATATTAACATATCTTAATTTTCCTTTAAACTAGTTAAAAGGATCATTTTTTCCATAAGTTTGATAACTTGAATGAAGGCCGAACAAGCTTCTGAAGGAATGCAGTTTTCTGCCAACTCCTCTGCCTCTCCCTCCTTCCTCTAGTCTAGGGGATGGTCTTGCATCTCAAGCAGTAGAGTTCTGTATATCCTCAGGCTACCCCCCTGCAGATTCAGAGGCTACCCAGTCTTGTCCAGTCATTTTTTATAAGACCAAATAAGATCACATTTTTAATCTAATTCACATGTGTCTATTTCTCTGTTATACCCAGGTTGCAGGTTGATTTTAAGTCTTATGTAAGTCCATAAAGATGTATTATTTGATTGTATTGCTTTGGGGTTTTATATAGAATATGGGTTCTATATTCTGCATTCAGTAAGAAAACACTTTTGCTACATGGAGAGCAAAAGTCAAGCTTTAAGACTATTGGGTTTACAAAATCAAAACAAAACAAAAACAAAAACAAAGGGGGAGGGGGGACCAGCAGTTAGCGTAATGGCTATATCACTGGACTCCCACGTAGTCGACCGCGGTTCATGTCCCGGACCCAGTGGCTTAAAACTCACGCTAGACGCATGTGTTTACGTGCCCAAGATCCCGGGAAGAGAATGGAGGAGAAGGGATTGCGGTGTGACCATCCCCCCTGGGGGGTGATTTCTCACTTTCTGTCTCTCTGTCTCTCTCTGTCTGTCTGGTAAGCACACACACCCTATAGCAAAAACCTTTCCAAAAAAAAGACTATTGGGTTTACTCCTCAGTTTTACAAACATGGCTTCCTTAACTCCCCCTTCCCACCACAGCATAGTAAATGCTTGTTATCTATGGTTTTGATAGTCTGACTTCTTGATGCTGCCATCAGCGTTCGCTATCATCACTGAGAGGGGAAATTAACACACAGTTTTAGGTACAGGTCTTGGTGAGAACCCTTGAGGTTTGGGGGCCTTGCGTTCCCACAGCATTGAATAGCAGGGTGAGCATTGGCTCTTGGTCCCAGGTGTGCCTTCTTCCTCTAGCAGTTGTCTCCACAATGTCCTGTAACATCCCCCAGGGTGCAGCCTGACCTCTTAGCTCCCAGGGGTCCTGCTAGCTGACTTCAGGTACATGGCTCCAGTGCTGAATCTTAGTTGATCAGGCATAGAAGTTGGCAAAAGGAGACATGAGAAGGGCATGAACACAATAAGCCCCACTCGCATCTGTATTACAAACCTGCTGTCTGCGTTTTCCACTCGTTCTTCACAGCTTAGTCTAACAAAGAACTCACATTGCTGGTTTACTTAGGGACGGGGGGGATGTTTTCCCCTTATTTGGGAATCAGCACCTTACGTGTGACTCCAGGACAGGTGTGTGGTCTATCTGATTGCACACCAGTAAGGAGCTGAGAGAAGGTGCTGATGGGCAGGCCCCAGATGCGTCTGATCGCTCACTCATAAAGCGACAGGTGGTGGCCCTCATAGAGGGACCGTCCAGCCAGCAACCATTACTATCTCATTCCACCACCAGCAGGTGAGGTCAAATCCCAAAGCTAAGCTCACATCATGGGAAAACATTCTATTTCAGTCCTAATTCTGCTTTGACCAACCGGTATCTGGTTCCTGACACTTAACACTTGCCAATTTGGGCCCAGCAGATGGCATAATGGTTATGTTGCTGGACTCCCACACGGTCGACTGCAGTTCGAGTTCCAGACCTGGCAGCTTAAAACTTATCCAGGGCGTGTGCGCACACGTTCTCAAAAATCCCAAGAGGAGAAAGGTTTGTGGTGTGGCCATCTCCCCTAGGGGATGATTTCTTGTTTTCTGCTCTCTCTGTTTCTCTGGAGAGTGCACATGCCCTATAGCAAAAACAAACAAAAAACAAAACAAAAGCCACTTGCCAATTTGGTTACCCCTAAGCAAGCAAACAAGCCTAGCTTCTCTCAGTCTCTCAGTTAAAGAACTCAGAATCTGACCTAGGAATCTTAACAATTTAGGTGTTTTTTGTTTTTGTTTTTGTTTTTTTGTTTTTTTGAGAGATTTTCACTGTAGGGCGCGTGCGCTCGCCAGACAGACAGAGAGAGACATAGAGACAGAAAGCAAGAAATCACCCCCCAGGGGGGATGGTCACGCCGCAATCCCTTCTCCATTCTCCTCTCGGGATCTTGGGCACGCACGCACACGTGCCTGGCGTGAGTTTTAAGCCACTGGGTCTGGGACACGAACCGCGGTCGACTACGTGGGAGTCCAGCGACATAGCCATTACGCTAACTGCTGGTTCCCAACAATTTAGGTTTTGTGTGTTTATTTGACTCACAAAAAGACTTAGAAAACTTAAAAGCCAGAGTTTAATATATAATGAACCCTTAAATATTCGTGAAAGGATGAAGGAGGAGTAACAGCTCTTAGAGGCCTCTTCTTTAAAGCAAGTCATGTATTTTAGAACTCTTGTTTCTATTACCAGACAGGTCTTTTCTCTTGTGTCTTACTAGTGTTTTGGCTTGTTATTTACTGTTCCTACTAGTGAACCCAGACTCCACCCATAGTGGAAAATCAACACAGAGAAATTACACAGAAGGGTTTCTATTACCAGACAGGTCTTTTCTCTTGTTATTTAATGTTCCTATTAGTGAACCCAGACTCCATCCATAGTAGAAAATCAACACAGAGAAATTACACAGAAGATTTCAAAGCATGTTAATAACACTTTAAGGAAGACCAATTTCAATTTGGATATCAGCAGAACATGTTCTCAGACTTGCTGGGAAAGAAAAGCAAAGTTACACAGTGTATTATAATACCTTAGCCAGTTAAGAACCAGATTTCCAGGGCCAGCACATGGTGTGGGATTAAAGTGCTGGACTTCCACATGGCTGACTATGGTTCGAGTCCTGGACCTGATGGCTTGAAACTCACACCAGGTGCGTGGGTGTACGTGCCCAAAATCCTGAGATAATGGGGGAGAAGGGATTATGGTGTGGCCATTCTCCCTGGAGGGTGATTTCTCACTCTCTCTCTCTATGTATCTCTCTCTTTCTCTCTCAAGTGAGTGCACACATCCTATGGCAAAAAAAATAAATAAATAAGCTGCGGGGGAGGGGGGACCAGATTCCCAGGAGTTAGACCATTGCATAGTGTCTGGAGAACGCCGAGAGGAGGGAGAAGTGCATGCAGCCTTGCTGAGCCCAGGGCCCAGATACGTCCAGTACAATAATCTGCAGGGAAGTAGCTGAGACGTCTGGGAAAGATGACCCACTGATGTGTGGTGCTGGCATGCCTCCACATCTCAATGGACTTCTTTGTTTTTTTTTAGGCAACGCCAGACCATTGCATAGTGTCTGGAGAACGCCGAGAGGAGGGAGAAGTGCATGCAGCCTTGCTGAGCCCAGGGCCCAGATACGTCCAGTACAATAATCTGCAGGGAAGTAGCTGAGACGTCTGGGAAAGATGACCCACTGATGTGTGGTGCTGGCATGCCTCCACATCTCAATGGACTTCTTTGTTTTTTTTTAGGCAACGCCTGCCCTTGGAGAGTGTCTGGCCTCACTGGCAGCGCATTCCTGGAGCCCACCCTTAACCGCTATAATCCCCTCTCGGTCTTCAACACCAAAACCTCCAGGGAGAGGTCTAGTAAGTACCTCCCCACAGAGCTAAGAGAACAGCCAGAATGGCCATATGTGCTAGGGCGGGGGCAGCCCTGCAGCACTGCTGTATCACACAGCTGAAGAGCGACCAGGAGGTCAGGGTTAAAAACTAGGTTGCGTGTCTCCATATTGCTAGAGAAATGAGCACAGACAAAACTTTGCTTCCATTAGGCTTCAGTTTCTGCTTTTGTGAAATGAGGCAGTGCAGTTGATTTCTACAGCCCTTTCATCCTAAGAGTTCAGGACCTCTTGTCTTCCCTGGTTCTCCATTCCCCTTCCACACCTGGGGATATGACTACCATTTTATAGTCCTCCTTCAGGGTCTCATCAGAGGGAGCACATCCACAGGGATAACTGACATCCTTCAAGCCCAAGAAGAAGTCATTTCGCTAAGGATGCTGATCACATCCTTCTGTCTTTGTGGAAGGTTAGGCATAGAAAAGTACCAGAAAGAATCGAAATTATGCAAGATAGAGAATGTCATGGGAGGGTTGACAGGCTAAGTTCTATAACAGAGGTCTGTACACTATGGCCAAGGGCACATCTAACCCTCTCCTACTTTTGTAACCACATTGTACTGGAGCACAAGCACACTAATTTTTTACATAGTGTCTGTAGCTGCCTTAGCACTACGGTGGCAGAGTAGGGACAACAAACCTAAAATATTTTTTACTTTCTAGCTCTTTATATAAAATATTTTCCACTGCATTCAAGAATAACCTAGAAGTATAATCCAAGGGAGATTATAAACCTATCTCTGGAGGATAAAAGGGAGGTCTTCCCGTCTGGATTAATTGTGATCCTGCTTAAAGGCAATGGAATGGAAGAGAGGGGCTTCACCTTGACTCAAGCTTGGACTCCAGCTAGAAAGGACTACCATGATTTGATGTCATCGGAAGCAAAAGTGACCAAATTTTCAACATTTAAAAAGAAAGAAAAACCTTTATATTTCTTTTCACACCAGTATTTTCTTGAAATATTGATATCCAGTTCCATAAGATGGCTGGGCATCACAGAAATTCCTTTTAGATCAAGCCCCCTTTCTCAATCTGCCCTGAGATCCCAGGGAGAAAAGTTCTTAGGGAGAAAGAGTCCATGCCACACTTTTGTCACCACCGTTCTTTTCAGCTAAGAATGCAGAGTGCTAGGCCATGGTGTCTTTATTCTCACCCGTTTTTCTTTACTTCCAATAAAAGAAACACATTGCTCTTGGACACGATGACCAGGACAATTTAGATAAGCTCACTAATACTACCTTTACTGAGCTCGGGTACACTGGCATATTTTCAGGGCTACTCAAGAGAGAAACATTGCTGAAATGCCTCAACCTTCCAAAGTCCCATATAAAATCTGTAAGTTAACCTTCCCCCCAACCCTCTCAGCCCCATCCCTCTCCTTCTTCCCTTTGAGATGAGCAGAAAGTGCTGCCCTTCACTGCTCTTCTCTGCCCACTCATGATTCCAAATGAGTTGTGGTGTGCTGCTCAAGTGGGAGCTGAGCAGCAAAGCAGGCTCTAGTGAAGCCGGGAAAGAGCTGACACCTGTGGGCAAATGCCAGTCCAGGTGTTGTTCTCCAGTGCCAAAGGGTCATGGGTCCCAGTCAGGCCATTCTGGATATTTAGTCTGCTCCAACTGTGACTTGAGAATAGTGTGTCTCTGTGTCACCACTCTGCAGAGCTGCACCTTGGAAAGAGATAAACATACTCTACAGTTCATAAAGTACTATAGCGAGGCAAAATGAGTGGCAAGGATAGAGGGAAACCTAGACTGGCCTCAGAGGGAGCAGAATGACTCTCTTCTATTGGTCTCCTTCCCAAAGACTATTTGAAAAAGGTTTCTTCACAGTTCTTCATCCTTCAGTGATACACTGTGAGACTCAATGCCCAAATCCCCTGAGCCCAAGGTTTTCACCACTGAATTAATCACCAAAGAGCAAATGCTGACCATGTGGGGGTGGGGGGGTTCTTGAAAAGTAGTGTGTGCATGAGTATGTATTCTAAGATAACTAGGCTGACCTGGAGTCAGAGAATGACTGATGGCGTAATGGGCTGTAAGAGGGCAGACTTCATTCAGTACGAGAGGGTGGCCTGCATGATGGAGGAGGGAGAGGTTTATATAGGGTGATGACTGATGTGAGCCTGTGGTTGAGAAATACAGTACAAACTGGCTTATCGGTCAACAGGACATCTCTATTGACACTTGGAACCTTGCCAGCAGAATTACTCATATTAGTATCTCCGATGCCCTGTAAGATCCTGGAGCATTTTCTTACTCATACAAAAAACTATTTAAGTATGCTAGAAAATACCAGGGTTTTTTTTTTAGAATTTTTATTTATTACTTACTTGTTTGAACTTGCTATAGTCATCAGAGAGAAACAGAGAGAGGGAAAGTAAGAAAGCAAGTCACCAGGTCTGGTATTCAAACTACAGTCAGTCATGTGAGAGTACAACACCCAACCATCACGCCACCTGGTGGTCCCACGTACCAGTTATTTAAAACTAGGTAAATCCTTGATTATGTGTGGCAGTGCCTATTAGCCAGATACTGGATTGACCAGAACATCCTATCACCAGCCAGTTTACCTTCCTTCCAAACCCAATTGGAATAATCAGCTAAGGAGAAAGATATCTAATTCCAGTGCAAGCTGTCTGCCTGTATTACAAAGAGTCAATGCACTATGATGCTGTCTTTTTGAGGAAAAGAGCTACTGGGTGAATAAAAATGATACCTTGGAATCTAACCCAGTGGTTCTTAAACACTGACATGCATCAGAATCACTCAGAAGGCTTGCTAAGGAATACCGGGCTCCATTCCAAGAGTTTGTAGTTTAGCAGAGCTGGGGTGGGGCCTGAGAATTTGCATTTCTAGTAAGTTTCCAGGTGCTGCTGATGCTGCTGGTGGGAGGATCCCACTTTGAAAACCTTTGCTTGAGGCCAGCACGTGGCCCCAAGTAGTTAAGATGCTCGACTCTCACATGGCTGACTGTGGTTTAAGTCCTGGACCCAGTGGTTTGAAATTCACTCCAGGTGCATGTGCATGCATTCCCAAAGTCCCAAAGTCCCAAGAGAAGAATGGAGAAGGGATTGTAGTGTGGCCATTCACCCTGGGGTAGGGGTGAGGGGGGGCGATTTCTTGCTTTCTGTCTCTTTCTGTCTTTCTAGTGAGTGCACACACCCTAGAACAAAAATCTCTCTCAGAAAAAAAGAAAAAAGAAAACCATTGTTCTAGAAGATCAAAGGACAGTATGTTCTAATAATTTCCCCCAAACAATCTCGTGTCTGAATCTAATAGGAACCAGCTGAGGCTTTTTTCAGGTAGCTAATTCATTCTGTAGGCTTTTTATGTGGCATTTGAGACACAAAACACCTTCTGAATCTCAAATGTTTTTTCCACTCAAGGACCAATTACATATAAGTAACTTTTAAAGGTCATTATAATGACTCCAGTGAAGCAACCTCAAGCAACTTTGTTTCTCTTAGAAGAAAAGTGTCCATAATGAGGTATTGTCTATGTGACATTTAAATGTACACACACATGCACACGCATACCCACACCTTCTTTTTATAAACTTATAGAAGATATTATAAACCTCAGTTGTATCTATGGCAATGGGCACTGTTCTGTGTGCAGAACCTCAAGATAAAGAATTTGACTTCTCTGTCTTAATCTATGTACTCTGAGAGCGTACGTGTAAAATTATTTTGTTTGTATGGCTCTCCCAAGACTCCCATGTTGTTGTCACCCATGTCTGACTGCTCTGCTGTAAGATAGAGGACAGAGTCTCGGCAGATGACCAGCAAAGGCAATGAATCATGTCCGACTATATAATGCCATTCACCTGTAAATCACAGGCGGTCAAGGTCTACTGGCTTTCATGTTGTTACTCCTTTTGAATTGTCTGGATTTTAAAAAATATTAGAGGGGCCAGAAGATGGCATAATGGTTACATCACTGGACACCCACATGACCGACCACAGTTCAAGTCCCAGACCTGGTGGCTTGAAATTCACACCAAGCATGTGCATATGTGTGCACCCAAGGTCCCAGGAGGAGAAGGGATTACAGCATGGCCATCTCTGGAGGGTGATTTCTTGTTTCCTGTCTCTCTGGCAAGTGCACCTATAGCAAAAAATATCCCCCCCAAAAAAAGATATTAGCCCATTCCTAACTTCTAAGGGAGAGAGATCCTTAGCCTACTATCCAACAGAAGACCATGAGATAGCTACAGAAGATCATCATGAAGGATAGGATTATAGGATATCACCGGGCCAGCTCCAGAGTGTAGAGGCTGCTCTGGGTCCATCGCTCGGCAACAACACATCCCTTCCCAGTAGAACCCAGCTCAGCTGCAGGTGTATTCCCTCCAAGAGAGCCAAGGGTATTCTGTATCACTGCTCCAGGTCATACAACCATAGGAAGAACCAAAACAGTCCCTATCCATCAGCTAATGTTCTTTTTTTTTTTTTAGAGGTTTTTGCTATAGGGCACGAGTGCTTGCCAGAAAGAGAGAGACAGAAAGCGAGAAATCACCCCCTGGGGCGGGGGGTATGGCCATGCCACAGTCCTTTTTCCTCCATTCTCTTCTCGGGATCTTGGGCATGCATGCACACGCGCCCAGCATGAGTTTAAGCCAACGGGTCGGGGAATCGAACCATGGTCAGTTACATGGACGTCCAGCAACATAGCCATTATGCCAACTGCTGGTCCCATCAGCTAATATTCTTAAAGGTCAAGAAATCTGGAATGGCCTCGCCTATCTGTTAATCCTTCATTTCCTATGGATCTAAAATCTAGGAAACAGAGTCGTCAAGCCGTCAGTAGCCCTAATGGCAAAGGGCCTACAGGTATAACCCAGTTCACTAAATGTAAATATTTATTTGAAGTCTTCTGCTTTATTCTTGTAAATGCATGAGAACTTGGCATTTCATTCCAATACCAAAAATCATTTCCTGGGAGCTGGCAGGAGGCATGGGAGTTAAGGTGCTGGACCTCCCACATGGCTGAACACGGTTTAAGTCCTAGACCTGACAGCTTGTCTCACACTTTCACTTTCTCTCTCTTACTGATCAAATTAAAAATAATGATAATAATATTAAATTATTATTTTTAAAAAGACATTTTCTGAAATCTTCCAGTGATAGCAATGTGCCAGGAAAATGCTCTACATTTTTCTCATGGCTTCTTGGATTTCCTAGCTCCTGTGGTACATGATGTTTTTTCCCCAGTTTGAGAAGTTTGGTCTGAGAGGGAAGTGTGCACATGATTGGCATCCAGGGCTCAGAGTGATTCTGTATGCATATGTGAAGCTTTTCCTGGGAACACTGTATGCCCCTCTACACAGAACCCCTTATATCTTCTGACCTGTCAGAAATCTCAGGATGCTCTGGTCATCCTCCTGTCTTGCAGGAAGAAGTATCTATTTCCTGTTAGGGGAACAGGACAGATAATCCCTCAGCTTTTTCTGTTTCCAGGTCGTATATCTGGCAATCCTCCCTTGTTTAATAATGTACCCTGTCTATTACATCATCCTACCTGACCTTGTCCAGTGAAGTGACCTTAATCATTTAGGGCGAGATAAAGATAGGGCTAACACTCCCTACTCCTTGTAAATAAGCTATCAAAAACAAGGGTGCTTGACAGGAGGTCAATCTAATCATTTGGGGTCATTGGTAACTTCTGTTGTGAATCCAGAAATCAATGCATCTGTAATTTTTTTCCCAAAAATTTCAGCTCTGTGGAAACTTATCTCAGGTCCAGTCAAATGAATATTGAATGTGAGAGTTTTCTTTTCACATTTTTAAACAGTAGAGATGTGATCCCAGAGATTGAGCCACAAGTTGGCAACTGTACACTGACCAGCTATTTTTCTCCTTTCACTGTTGCTTTCCGGTAGCAGATGCACAAAGGCCCAGGCAGGCAGGCCAGGAGGGAGATAGCAAGATTACAGAGAAGGCTTACGAACTCTCCCTTAGCTATGTCTCTGCTGTCCTTTAACTATGTAGTAGATTATCAAAAAAGCCAAGACGTATTTTCTATGCAAAAATGCATCATGAGTTTTCCAACAACTCAATATTTAAGTGTTTTAAGCTCAGTCTGACATTGAGGAAGATATGCAACCTCTGGAAGCTGCAGTCTGTCCATAGACAGCTGGAGGACAGCGGCTACTGCACATTGTGCTCCCTCCTGTGAGACTTTGGGGTGGAAATGTGTATCTAAAGACCACAGGGAAGGTAGAGCAGAGGGAGAGGAAGTTGCCCCATTGTGCTTTTGAATTACCTTTATTCTTCCTGTACCCTCTCGGTCAGTTCTGGGGATGCCGGACACGGTGGAAGAGGTGTGTCCTGATATCCCCCAGCTGGAAGGCCTGATGAAGGAAATCAATGACCTGGCCGAGTCAGGGGCCCGGTACACGGAGATGCCCCACGTCATCGAGGTGATCTTACCAATGCTCTGCAACTACTTGTCCTACTGGTGGGAACGGGGACCTGAGAACCTGCCCCCCAGCACAGGGCCCTGCTGCACCAAGGTCACCTCTGAACACCTCAGTCTCATCCTGGGCAACATCCTGAAGATCATTAACAACAACCTGGGCATTGATGAGGCCTCCTGGATGAAGCGCATTGCAGGTACCAGCACATCGTGTCCCCTGTGTCCTGTCTCAGAAAGCAAGATAGCCTAACTCTTTTTCATGCCTTCCGTTAATTTCAGGATGGTTTTGAGTAAGTTCTAGTCTATCTTTAACCGTACCCCCTACTTGTCCCAGTTGTAAAAAGAACCAACTTATTCCTCTGTAGAACTTGCTGGAATAAATGTTCCGGTCCCTTCCCCCTGCTGATCCAGGCCTCTCAAAACTTCTATCACCTCCCACAATCATTGCTTTATTTGTTTTTGGTACTTAAGAATTCCATTTGCTCTTACAGTAATAATTGTCCATAATGTTTGTTGGTAAGTAATCCTATGTGTTTTCTACACGTATGAAACTCACTCCCATCTGGCTGTACTCTAAGTTCCTGAACATCACTCTGCATTTGTATTTCACTTTATGCTTTCTAAGACACTCTTGAATGTAGGCTCGCAGTAGCAGTGCTTCGTTTTTCTTTTTCTTTCTTTCTTTTGTATTATCTAAGCCGCCTTGCATGCAGAAAGCCTTTAATGAATGTTACTAGCCAATTTTCTGTTCCTGAAGCAAACTCAAAAAACGAAGATGAATAGCCATACTTTCCACAGTCAGGATATCATAAATATGTATCATTATCTGTGCCAAACTAGAGTCTAAGGAGATAGAAGCAAAGGCAAAGTCGTGTTTGAAGGACCTACAGTGTAGGTAGTGGAGTCCTCCAGTTAACAGGTTCACTCATACGGTCTCCCAGACCATGAAGTACAATGGTGAGGCTAAAGGGAGCCGTGTAACCTGACACCAGGTATTTAACTTCCTGGACAAATGAAACTATGTCTTTCTGGAAGATGAAGGAAAAAGTTTCTGCCTACTTCCTGTCTCAGAGATGAACGAAGATCAAAATTATAAAGACTTCTTTCTTTCCATGAGTAAATAGAGTTGATGTTTCTTACTCATTAGCCCTAAAATGTTGTGTATCATTGGCAGTTTTTAATTTGTAAATCTGAGTTGAGGAAGGAAGGGGATCAAACAATCTGCTCCCTTCCTTCCTGAGAGGTGCAAAGAGGAAAAGTGTCATAGCATGAGAGATGCTGATGGGAATTGAACTCTAGCCTGTTATTCCACAGGTGAACCCAGAGGCCATTAAGGCAAACCCTTTAGTTCCTGGTGGATAAAAATCTATTTTAAATAATAATCCCAAATCACCTTCATCAGCAATATCCTTTCTATTGGAGCTCAAAAGCAGAACTACACCTCAGTTAAATAGGTCACAACTTCTTGGTTAATGTGTCTCACCAGAGAGCAGCCCTTAACCTTCTTTTTATAACGTTGTCTTTCTGAGAAAAGTGAAAGCTGACCTTGTAGCTTAGTAACCAACACAGTTTGAATCCTGGCCCCAGTGGCTTAAAAAACATGCTGGATGCATATGCATGTATGCCCCAAATCCTGACAGAATGGAGAAGGGAATGCAGCATGGCCATGTCCCATTGGAGGGTGTTTTCTCCCTTTCCTTCTGGTGAGTATACGTGCCCTCTGTCAATTAAAAATATAATGAAAGTGAGATTTAAAAGAAAATTTGCTAGATTGAAATGTCCTAAGCTAAAAAACTTTGAAATACATATTTATACTTAGTCAATGGTTCATGACTTACGTTTTATTTTTTTCCTTGCTATGACTCTGATTTTTTTCTACCTTAAAAACAGATAAATTCATAAGAGGAGACTCACTGTCTAAACAATAGAATTTAAGAAATAAAGTGAGACATGTAGGTTTTAGCTTTGTCTTTAAGAAGGCCAAATTGTAGCCCTAGTGATTGTCTGTTTCACTTTTGACATCTGGTGATGGCCCAGCCTCACTGTGAGCCTTTAGAGCTGCTGTCCACATTACTTGCCTCCCTCAGCACCCAGAGGTGCCTCCAAACAGGTGCCTCCAAGCAGGTTGTAAGTTCCCGTGTATCAGAGCCTGAGAACTTCTGTTGGATAATTTTTTTTTTGAGAGGTTTTCGCTATAGGGCGCGTGCACTCGCCAGACAGACAGAGAGAGACATAGAGACAGTGAGAAATCACCCCCCAGAGGGGATAGTCACGCCACAATCCCTTCTCTTCCATTCTCCTCTCGGGATCTTGGGCACGCACGCACACGCACCTGGCATGAGTTTTAAGCCACTGGGTCCAGAACACGAAACCGCGGTCGACTACGTGGGAGTCCAGCAACATAGCCATTATGCTAACTGCTGGTTCCTGATAAATGTGTTTTTAATACAGATTTTTCTACAAAATAACCAGAAAGCATATATTGAGTGCCTACTCTTGGTGCAGCTCAGTGCTGGTTATTACAAACAAAAGTATTCTTCAAGGAGTTTGTAATCTGGTAAGCTGAAACCAACGTGAACTTACTATCAAGGGACACATGCTGTGTGAGAAGAGTTATGAAGAATTAAGAGATGCCACTCAGATCATCCTTGCTTGAGAGGTCCAGAGGTAGCCAGGAGGAGCGGAGCAGGAATCGGAGCTTCTGGAGTACTCTTGGTCCCCTCCTCTAGCTGTAGCTTTGCGAGGGGAATGCCCAGGGGAAGATTAAGGAACAGAACAAGGGGCAAGTGTCATTCTGAGTGATGGGTCTCCATAGTCTCAGTTTTGGGGGTCCATTCTTCATTTACGTTGATTGTGCTAATGCATGAAATGAGGGGGAAGCCCTTTGTTTTGCACAGTGTATGCCCAGCCAATCATCAGCAAAGCCCGGCCTGACCTGCTGAGAAGCCACTTCATCCCAACTCTGGAGAAGCTGAAAAAAAAGGCCATGAAGACCGTGCAGGAGGAGGAACAGCTGAAAGCTGACGGCAAAGGAGACACCCAGGAGGCGGAGCTCCTTATCCTGGACGAGTTTGCAGTCCTCTGCAGAGACCTCTATGCCTTCTACCCCATGCTGATCCGCTATGTGGACAACAACAGGTAGGGAGGAAACTGCTGGCAGTTTATCTGACCCTTTCTAGGGTTAATTTGGGCAACAGAATGGGATGAGAATAGGCGCTGTTGGGTTGCCTTAGCAGTGAGATGAAGGGAGATCACAACTGCCACCACCACGCCCCCTCCTACCACCAATAAACTCTGCTGTAGGACATCTGGGCACTGCTTTCCTTGATCAATGTTCTGTGGCATGGCCACATGCTCCTTCCTCACAGGCTTCTACAGGTCAAAGGGGTTGGCCAAATAAGGGCAGCAGTGACCACCCTCCCGTCCCTCTCCTATTTGCCCACACATTCATTCTAGGGCCACTACTTGACTGTGTCCCAGACACTGCTCTGGGCATTGGGCAGTAGGCATGAATAAACAGACAAGCTCTCTGGCCTAGGCAGCTTCCATTGTGGGGCATATGGATGACAAACAAAATATATAAATTAATTACAATATATAGAGCAAAGTGAGGGGAATTAGTGCCAAGGGCACAATTAAAAAAAAAAAAAAAGTTATTAAGGAAGCAACTCTTGAGCAAGACCCAAAGAAAGTGATACTGGGAACCATAAAGATCTGAGGCAGGAGTATTCCAGAAAGAGGGAACATCTGGTACAAGTCCTGCAGAAGGGGGCGTGGTGGCACCTACTGGATGCTGGAGGATAGGGTCATCAAGTCCATCTCTCTCTCCCTCTGTCTCTCTCAATGTGCATGATTTTGGGGGACCAGCAGATGGCATAATGGTTATATTGCTGGACTCCCACATAGTCAACCACAGTTTGAGTCCTGGACCAGGCAGCTTAAAACACATTGGGTATGTGTGCATGCATGCCCAAAATCCCAAGAACAGAATGGGGGAGAAGGGATTATAGCATGGTCATCCCCCTGGACAAGTCCTACAGAAGGAGTGTGTCTAGATACTCAAGAGACCACAGGAGGCCAGTGCAGCTGGGGCAGAGTGAGGAATGCAGAGAAGCGGGGGGCGTGAGATAAGCAGCACTGGCCAATAGTGCAGGGCCACGGGAGCCACTGTGAGGACTCTTGCTTTGAATCTGAGTGAATTAAGGTCAATGGAGATTTTAAGCAAATCTGTGACTCACTCCTTAATGCACTGTAGTGAGGGGTAGGAGCAGATAAGGAAGAAAGACCATGTGGGAAGCTCACAGTGATCCAGTGAGCCAGTCACTTGATGACTTGATGGTGACCCATAGAGACAGAAAGCAGATTAGCAGTTCCAGAGCTGCAGGGAGGATGGAGGAAGATTAAGCAGGAATAACTGCTTAATGGGGTTGGGTTTTCCTTTTGAGGTGATAAAAATATTATCGAAGAAGATAGTGATATGGTTGCACAACTTTGTGAATGTACAAAATGTCTGTAATGGCAAATTTGTCATATCCATTTTACCACAATTAAAAACATAAAATTGATAGTGACTGAGGCTAAAGTGGTAGCAAGTTGACAGCAGTTACCAGATTCCAGGTCTATTTTAAAGGCAAAGACCTTGGTATTTCAAGACTGGGAGTGAGAGAAAAGAGTAGAGTCAAAGGTGACTCTAGGAGTTTTGGGCTGAGCAAATGGAAGAAGTTATGTTAGGGAAGATAGTGAGTTCAGGACTTTTTAGAAAAGATATTTTTGCTATTGGGTGCATGTACTCACCAGAGAGACAGAAAGTGAGAAATCACCTCCCAGGGTGGTGGCCACTCTGCAACCCCTTCTCTTCCATTCTCTTCTCAGGATTTTGGGCATGCACGCACATGCATCTGGCATGAGTTTTAAGCTGAGAGGTCTAGGACTTGAACTGCAGTCGACTACATGAGAGTCCGGTGACGTAACTATTATGCCATCGGTGGTCCCCAGCCCTTTTTTTAAGGGGAAGATCAATAAATCATTTTCAAATGAATTTAATTACTTATTCAATGTAGAAATTAAGATGTTGAATGGACAGTTGAAAATATAGTCTGGAGTTCAGGGAAGAGATCTGTGTAGATATGAATTGTGAAAGCCATTTATAATTACTAATTTTGTCATTAAAGACTGAGATTTGGTGAGATAAGGGTTGAGGAAGAGAGAGAAAAGAGTTCTAAGGACTGAGTCCTCGAGCTCCCCAACATTAAGAGGTCAGGCAGAAGAAGAGGAACCAACAAATAAGACTGAGAAAGAGCAACCAATGATACTGGAGGGAAACTAACAGAATGTTGTATCTTTGGTGCCAACTTCACAACAGGCTTCTAGGAGCAAAAAAATGACCAGCTGTTTCAAGTGCTTCTGGTAAATAAGATGAGAACTGAGACTTAAATATTAGATTAAGCAATATGGAGTCTATTGGTGATCTTGACAAGAGCAGTTTCAGTGGAATAATGAAAGCCTCCAGGAGAAAAAGACTTGAGGACAATAATACAGGCAACTTGTTCAAATTTTACTACAAAGGGGAATGGAAAAATTGAGTACTAGCTGCAGGCAGAAATATAATCAGTGGAGGAATTTGTAAAATGAGTGACATGGGGCCAGCAGGTGATGTAGTGGTTGGGACGCTAGACTTCCACATGACTGACCACAGTTTAAGCCTTGGACCCAGAGGCTTGAAATTCACTATAGGCATGTGTGCATGCACGTCCATAATTCTAAGAGAAGGGATGGCAGTGTCGCCATCCCACTCTGGGGAAGGGGGGGTTTCTCACTTTTTCTGGCAAGTGCCCATACCCTATACCAAAAATATCTCTATAAAAAGAAAAAGATGGGCGACATGTCAGTTTCTTTGCTGTTGGGAATGATCCAGCACAGAGAGAAGAAACATGATCATGTAAGAGAGAGAAATCATTTCCATAGCAACATGCAGGAGAACAGAGTGTGGGTGCTGGTGTTGGCAGGTATACCGTGTATATACACACATACCTACGTGAAATATATAGAGATAGGTAGCTTTTGGTTTATATAGAGAGAGGTAGGGAGTAGAGGAGTTTGTTTCTGATTGTTTCCATTTTCTCAGTGATTCACATTAAGATCATGAGCTGAAGTGAGGATGGGGAGAAGGTGCTTGGTGGTTTGAGGAGTAAAGAGAAGGTATGAAGTATTTGCAGGGAGAGTGGAAGAGTAGATGGACCAGAGAGATACAGGGTGATTGTCAAGCAGCATTAAGGGCCCTACTTAAGATCTGAGGTCATGAATTTGAAGTGAGAACCATCAGCAAGCTATCTTTTTCTCCAGTTCAATTCAGCTACCAGGTATAGGCCCAGAGTAGGAAGATAATTGAATTTAACTAGGGTTAAAGTTTGAAAAGTGAGTATGACAAAAATGAGCTAGAGAGTTGAGTGTGTATATAAGAGGGTAGTTATAAAGATGACCATGGAATTTAAGATGGATGATAAGGGCAGTAAGGGCATAAAAGGCTAATGTCTTTGAATAGCACCAAAGGATTGTTGATTCCAGTGGGATCAAAGGATTATTGGAGTCTAGGGAACCAGCAGTTAGCGTAATGGCTATGTCGCTGGACTCCCACGTAGTCGAC